TTTTTTGCTTTTTGGGTCACACCCGGCGATGCACAGGGGTTACTCCTGGCTCTTCACTCAGGAATTACTCCTGGTGGTGCTTGGGGGACCATATGGGATGCTGGGAATCGAACCTGGGTCGGCCACGTGCAAGGCAAACGCCCTACCCGCTGTGCTATTGCTCCAGCCCAGAACTAGTATTTTTTAAGGAAAAAACTTTTTCTTAAAGGGTACATTTATAAAACTAAATGTTTTATAGAAAGCTTTTCTCTACCACTGGCCTGAGCTGAGAGATTTATGATACAATTTACTAATAGCAAAACCCACGGACCTAAGAGAATTCAAAACTCCTTGGTTTCAGGTTACTCACTCATCTCACTGCCCTTTAAAAGTTGCTGCCCCTCTAGAACTGCTTTAAGGCAGCCTGTCTCTGTTAAGTAAACAGAATTTAAACAGAGCGACTTAACAGTATAAATTCATGTTGGTTACGCCACAGCAACCAACATTTCCAAATAAACTTGAGTGTAAATCAGACTGCTGAGTGAAAAAAAATGGCTGTCAGCTAAGGCTGTGTGAAAGAACAGCTCTCTCGACTCTCATTTCATTTTAGTTTACCTGTTTATGGTGCTAAGTCTCTATAAGAATAAGCAATACGGCATTCTTTAATATTTATTTGAAAATTTATTGAAGCATCTCATCCATACTCATTCGTTCGTATTGATTTTTGGTTGTAACCAGGCTATCTCAGATGGGTCACCTGATGATGATCAAAATATTTGGTGTGTAGAAAGCACCTTTGTCTGTGGAAGTTCATCTAATATGATTCAGGAAAGTACAGCTTTCCCTTCAGCAAAGTGAAAATTCTCTTCAGTAAGTGTCACTTTGTACTATTTTAGGAGTTAAACTTGAGAATTTTAGCATTTATTGACTCACTCAAAGGCAGTAACAAACCCAATAACCTCCACCAAAAAACTCCTAGAAACAATAGACTCGTATAGTAAAGTTGCAGGTTATAAAATCAATACCCAAAAGTCCATGGCTTTCCTATACGCAAACAGTGAGAGAGAAGAAAGCAACATGAAAAAAACAATCCCGTTCACAATTGTGCCCCAGAAAATCAAGTACCTAGGAATCAGCTTAACTAAGGAAGTAAAGGACCTGTACAAAGAAAACTACAAAACGCTACTTCAGGAAATAAAAGAGGACATGAGGAAATGGAAAGATATCCCCTGCTCATGGGTCGGGAGACTTAACATTGTCAAAATGGCAATACTACCGAAAGCATTGTATAAATTCAATGCAATCCCTATAAGGATACCCATGACATTCTTCAAAGAAATGGGGCAAACACTCCTGAAATTTATATGGAACAATAAGCCCCCACGAATAGCTAAAGCAATTCTTGGGAAAAAGAAAATGGGGGGAATCAACCTCCCTAACTTCAAACTGTACTACAAAGCAGTAATAATTAAAACAGCATGGTACTGGAACAAAGGCAGAACTGCAGACCAATGGAACAGGGTTGAATACACTGACATCTCCCCTCAATCATATGATCATCTAATCTTTGATAAAGGTGCAAGTAATGTGAAGTGGAGTAAGGAAAGCCTCTTTAATAAATTATGTTGGCATCATTGGACGGCTACATGCAAAAAAATAGGCTCAGAACTCTGCCTAACACCATGTACAAAAGTAAGATCAAAATGGATTAAAGACCTCAACATCAGACCAGAAACCATAAGGTACATTGAAGATAAAGTTGGCAAAACCCTCCATGATATTGAAGCTAATGGTATCTTCAAAGATGCCACGCCACTGGCCAAGCAAGTGAAAACAGAGATAGATAAATGGGACTATCTTAAACTAAGAAGCTTCTGCACCTCCAAAGAAACAGTGACCAAAATACAAAGACAGTCTACAGAATGGGAAAGGATATTCGCCGAATACACATCTGACAGGGGGTTGATATCCAGGATATACAAAATACTGGTTAAACTCCACAAGAAGAAAACATCCAACCCCATCCAAAAATGGGGCAATGAAATGAACAGAAACTTTCTCAAAGAAGAAATCCGAATGGCAAAAAAGCACATGAGAAAATGCTCTACATCATTAATCATCAGAGAGATGCAGATCAAAACCACAATGAGATACCATCTCACACCTCAGAGACTGGCCCACATTCAAAAGAACAAAAGCAACCAATGCTGGCGTGGATGTGGCGAGAAAGGGACACTCCTTCACTGTTGGTGGGAATGTCGACTGGTTCAGCCCTTCTGGACAACAGTATGGACGATTCTCAAAAAATTAGAAATTGAGCTCCCATTTGACCCAGCAATACCACTCCTGGGAATATATCCCAGAGAAGCAAAAATGTATAGTCGAAGTGACATCTGCACTTGTTTGTTCATTGCAGCACTCTTTACAATAGCCAGAAACTGGAAGAAACCTGAATGCCCAAGAACAGATGACTGGTTAAAGAAACTTTGGTACATCTACACAATGGAGTACTATGTAGCTGTTAGAAAAGATGAAGTCATGAAATTTACATACAAGTGGTACAATATGGAAAGTATCATGCTAAGCGAAATGAGTCAGAAAGAGAGGGATAGACATAGAAAGATTGCATTCATCTGGGGGATATAAAGTAACAAAGTATGAGATTAATACCCAAGAATAGCTGAGATCAGCACCAGGAGGATTACTCCATAACTTAGAGGCCAGCCGGGTATCCTAGAGGAAAGGGCAGTTCAGATAGAGAAGGGAGCACCAAATAAAGGATGTTTGGAGGATCCTCCCAGGAGGGGAGATGCATGTCGAAAGTAGACTATGGACTGAACATGTTTGCCACTCAATGCCTCTTTTGCAGACCACAACACCCAAACGGAGAGAGAGAACACAGGGGATTGTCCTGCCACAGAGGCAGGGGGGGATGGGGGGATGGGGGTGGGAGGGATATTATCCATGGTGGTGAAAAACGGGCACTGGTGGAGGGATGGGTATCTGATCATTGTATAATTGAAACCCAAGCACAAAAAAAATTGTAAGTCTACAACTGTAAAAAAATAAATAAATAAATAAAAAAGGCAGTAACAAATCCATTGCATATTAACACATTAATGTTTATTATTTCATTTTAATTTAATTTTGGTTCGGGGCCTCCCGTGTGGTGCTCAGGTCAGGAAGCACCTGCAGGGCTGGGGATTCCTGTGACTTGGATAATCCGAAGCTGCACCTGGTGATGTTCTGGGGACCACACGGGGTGCTTCAAGTCCAACTGGGATTCGTCACATGCAAGACATGTGCTCTAATCTCTAAGGGCCCTATTTTTTTTTAATTTTTCAAGACTATCTTTTAGAAAAGTATATATAATCTACAAAATAGTGAGGGGTGTATTATATCTTTTAAAATCCTTTGACTGCCAGTTTAATAGATAACACTTAGATTCTCTTCTGCTTCCATCCAGTTTTGGTTGCTTGGTTGAAGCATGAGGAGACAGGGAGTTGGAAAATAAACTGAGTTGGAACTCACACACGCCATCCCACAGAACACCCATAGATCCTTCAGTCATACTTGGAGAGCCACCGTCCTGTAAAAGAAGAGTTTGGAAGAATATATGAGTAATGAGATTATTCATGATCCTAATTTTTTTGATTAATATCACGATCACGATCTTCCTGTTGTTTGTTGATTGCCTGAGCAGGCACCAGTAACTCCTTCGTCCTAGCCCCGAGATTATAAAAAGTGCCACATTCAAGGCTCTTTCAGGGTTAGGAGAATGAGACCCATCATTGTTACTGGTATCTGGCATATTGGGTACACCACGGGGAGTTTGCCAGACTCTGCCACGTGGGCAGGCTACACGTGGTAGCCTGCCAGGTTGTCAAAGTAAGGATGAGATAATAAGATGTCACACAGCCGTGAATGCGGCCACGTGCTTCCGGGAGCTGGGTTTTATAGTCTCTGGGTCTTGGCCGTTGATGGGATTACACAGAGCTGGGGGCCAGTTGGTGGGTGTGACTAATTTTGATTAATATACATTTTCTAAAATTAAGATAGACCGACTGCATACCTATAAACAAGGAAGGAAGGAGATCCCCTCCCACCTCCTCAATGGTGGAGGCAGAGAAGTTTGTACTTGGATGTTCATACCAGGAGCCACTGTAATTCTTTTTTTGTTTTGTTTTGGGACCATACTTGGCAGTGCTCAGAGGTTACTTCTGGCTCTACACTCAGCAATTACTCTGGGAGGTCTAAGTAGACCAGATGGGATACTAGGATTGAACTTGGGTTGGCTGCATGCAACACACATGCCATCCGCACTGTCCTATCTCTCTGGCCCCTGTAGTTTTAAATAGGAAAGTGACTTGTGGAAAATTGTACTTGAGAGTAGCAGAATTAGACCTGGAGTAGAGGAGTGACTTCAGAGATTGTCATGGTAATTCAGGTGAGTGAACAGTGAGGTGCGCCAGAACTCTGGTTTTGGTTGAAATGCTGAGTTGAATAGAAGTCTACTGAAATATGTTTTCAAAACAGAATTACCAATACTTGTATATAGGTAGGAGAGGAGAGGGAGAAGGAGAGGGAGAGTCAAGGAGAGGGGGTATCAAGTCTAAGAGATTGTGGAAGAATATTTGCCCTTCCTGTTCAATTTTGTTGTTTTGTTGGGTGTCACATTCTGCAGTGCTTAGGGTTTTCTCCTGGATCAGTGCAAGGCATGCACTTTCCCTGCTTTACTGTGTCTCTGGCCCTCTTATTTAATGTTTAATCTTTTTCTTAAAACTTTTCTAAGCAGGTCTGGAGTGATAGTACAGAAGGTAGGGCGTTTGCCTCGCATGCGGCTGACCTGGGTTTGATTCCCAGCATCCCATACAGTTCCCTGAGCACTGCCAGGGGTAATTCCTGACTGCAGAGCCAGGAGTAACCCCTGTGCATCGCTGGGTGTGACCCCAAAAGCGAAAAACAAACAAACACAAAAACTCTTCTCTCATTAAGTATCAACATCTTGTCTTGTGTTTCAGAGTTGACCAGTCTGTTCCAGGGTTTAGAGCATCAGTCCACTTCCCATCCTCACTGGTCACAGTTCATTCCTGAAGAAAAGGAAGACCTGAGTCATTCTTGGGGACCCCATACCTATGACATCTGGAGAAAGACACCTGCCACTTACTCTCCTGGGTCTCCGCAGGCGGTGAAGTCCGTCCAGTTGCTGTGTGCCCTGGACACCTGGAGTCCACCTCTTATGCACTCCAGCACCCCCATCAGCTCCCTCTTCTCCTTCACCAGCCCAGCCGTGAAAAGGCTGCTAGGCTGGAAGCAAGGAGATGAAGAGGAAAAGTGGGCCGAGAAGGCTGTCGACTCTTTGGTGAAGAAACTAAAGAAGAAGAAAGGGGCCATGGATGAGCTGGAGCGGGCCCTCAGCTGTCCCGGGCAGCCCAGCAAGTGTGTGACCATCCCCCGCTCCCTGGACGGGCGGCTGCAGGTCTCCCACCGAAAGGGGCTGCCACACGTCATCTACTGCCGGGTGTGGCGCTGGCCGGATCTCCAGTCTCACCATGAGCTGAAGCCCCTGGAGTGCTGTGAGTTCCCATTTGGTTCCAAGCAGAAGGAGGTGTGCATCAACCCCTACCACTACCGCAGAGTGGAGACTCCGGGTAAGTTGCCTTACTGCGTCTGGCCGGTAAGTTAAGGGAGATGGCCCATGGCGGGAGAGCAAGACTAGCAACCCCCCGCCGCCCCCGCCCCCCACCGGCCTCGCCCCATCACCAAAGCAGAGGAAGGAGAAAGCGAGTTTCTGGTCTCAAGAACTAATCCCAACTTTTTTTTTTTTTGCTTTTTGGGTCACACCTGGCGATGCACAGGGGTTAGTCCTGGCTCTGCACTCAGGAGTTACTCCTGGCGATGCTCAGGGGACCCTATGGGATGCTGGGAATCGAACCCGGGTCGGCCGTGTGCAAGCAAACACCCTACCCATTGTGCTCTCGCTCCAACCCCTAATCCCAACTTTTAGCATCAGAAACATCTAAAAAGATATTTTTATTTCAATATACGGGCTGGAGCGAGAGCACAGCAGGTAGGGCGTTTGCCTTCCATGTGGCTGACCCGGGTGACCCGGGTTCGATTTCTCCACCCCTCTCGGAGAGCCCAGCAAGCTACCGAAAGTATCTCGCCCGCAGGGCAAAGCCTGGCAAGCTCCCTGCAACGTATTCGATATGCCAAACACGGTAACAAGTCTCACAATGTTACTGGGCCCGCTCGAGCAAATCAATGAACAATGGGAGGACAGTGACAGTGATTTCAGTATACATGGAAGCTTCATGTCCTTTTATTTAATCTTTATTTTTTTTTATTATTCATGATTGGGCTGGAGCCATAGCACAGCAGGTAGGGCGTTTGCCTTTCACGTGGCCGGCCTGGGTTTGATTCCTCCATCCCTCTCAGAGAGTCCGGCAAGCTACCCATAATATCCCGGCAAGCTACCCAGAGTATCCCACCCGCATGGCAGGGCCTGGCAAGCTCCCCATGGCGTATTCAATATGCCAAAAACAGTAACAACAAGTCTCACAATGGAGACGTTACTGGTGCCCACTTGAGCAAATCGATGAACAATGGGAGACAGTGCTACAGTGCTATTCATGATTATAATTGTTTCCTAGTTTTTGGAGTCTTGGAAGGATTTATGATGACTTTCAGTTGCTTACCTGTAAAACACTAAATGTTCTCCTCGTTGACCTCCTGTCCCTCACTGATCTGAACTGAACTCCACAAAAGAAGACTGTCCCTTTCTCTGAGCCCAGGAATGCAGAGTGTCCCCTGTCTGGGTCTGGAATGGCCAGGGAAAGAATCACTGGAAGTTTAGGTCTGAAAACCACAGGAGTTGTGGATGGGGGCAGGGTTGACTGAGGTCTGGGTGGAGGATGGATATTGGCTGTTGTTCCTAAATGTATCTTTAAATATAGAAAGGCATTGTTCTAAACCCTTAACACACTCATTTATCTATATGAATATTTAGTACCTTTTGGAGAAGTCTAATGTATATTTTATTCCTTCATTTTCTCTGTAACAGAATTAGGTCATATTTTTCATTGGATAGAATGTTCCTATGGCTATTAAGATGCAGCTTTTATGGGAGGTTTCTCTCCTCAACTAACCACCTGCATTGTTCTAGGAGATTGGATGGGATCAGAAGGCCCACATCCATTAGAAGGCAGTTCTGGGACTGGTACAATAGCACAGCAGTTAAGGCGCTTGCCTTGCACACAACTGACTTGGGCTTGATCCCCAGTAATCGATATGGCTCCCTGAGCCCCACCAGGAGTGATCCGTGAGTACTGAACCAGAAGTCATCCCTGAGCACTGCCAGGTGTAGTCCCCAGACAAAACACAAATGAGAGCTTGCAGGCTGCAAAGGCAGGCAGCCTGCATCAGCTGGGCGTGGCCCATGTCTTAGCTTAGGCCTTTCGTCTCCAGGTCTGTGGTAAAGCTGCTCTCATGACATTACCTGTGATACTTCTCCTAGTCCCTTTATCGGGGATCAAGCTCCTATCTGAAACGCCAAAGGACATATCCCCAACCCCTGGCAGGTCTGAGGCATTTCCTTCATGGGGCTTTGCTTTCTTTCCTTTCCTCCTTTCTGGGCTCTTTCTGTAAATTTTAAATAAAATGCCACTAACGAATGAGTTTATGATACAAATGGCTTGATTCTTTTAGCATTTGAAAGATGGTATAATAAACAGTCAAAACACTCCCCAATTTGGGGGGGTGGGGAAATCATGCTTATTATGAAATTCATTGTCTTGGGGCTGGAGCAATAGTACAGCAGGTAGGGCATTTGCCTTGCACACTGCCATCCTGGGTTCGATTCCCAGAATCCCATATGGTCCCCTGAGCACCACCAGGAGTAATTCCTGAGGGCAGAGCCAGCAGTAAGCCCTGAGCATCTCTGGGTGTGACCAAAAAGAAAAAAAAATTCATTGCCTCTTCCTGAGAAATATGATTGTAAAGTACAGCTCTTAAGAAATGTCTTATATGAGGGAGCTGGAGAGATAATACAATGGGCAGGACATTTACCTTGCATGTAGCCAACCTGAGTTCAATCCCCAACACTGCACATATGATCCTTAATCCTGACTAGGAGTTATCCCCGAGTGAAGAGCTAGGAATAAGCCCTGAGCACTCACAGGTGGGGCCCCTAAATAAACAAGCAAGCAAAACAAACAAATAAAAGTATTACGCATCATTATGGTGCTTCAAAAAAAAAAGTAATGATTTTACAATGTCTTGTAAAATTTGACTTTTCTTTTGAATATTTAGAAAATCTAATTTTATAGTACTACTGGATGTTCAGCTTTTCTTTTGTGTGAAAGGTGATGTCAGGAATATTTTTTTCTTTTTTTTCACCCAGCAGTTTTCAGGGATTACTCCTGGTTCTGCACTTAGAGGGACTATATGGGGTGCCAGGGGTTGAACCCCAGCTGGCTGCATACAAGGCAAGCATCTACCCTCTACACTATTGCTCCGGCCCATAGGAATATTTCGTGTGGATGTTTTTCCCCTGTGGCATATAGATTTCATATTTTACTTTATGGCAGATAGATTTCATATATTAGGTTTGCATTCCCACAGTGAAAGATTATTCCTGAGCACTGTTGGGATGACCCTGGATGGCCCCTGGCACCACGTGGCTCAAATAGCAACTGCATCCTTTAACCCTAGCACAGAACCTCCAACCCAGTTATCTAGGAATTGCTGAAAGTGGCCTGACCACCTGAGCACCACCCTCCCCCACACATAACAGAATAAAATGAAAGCTTGGTAAAGACTCTACCAATTTTTCAGGTAGCATTTAAGCAATACAAGTTTATTTCTAATTTTTTCATATAAAAAGCACATAACATCAGGGAGTGCTCAGAAGCTATTCCTGTCTCTGTGCTCAAGAATGGCTGAGGGCAGTGCTTGGGGGATCATGTACAGTGCCCGGGATTGAACCAGGTTTGGCCACATGCAGGGCAAGCACCTAGCCCCTTGGACTGTCATCCCAGTGTGAAAAAGCTCATTTTATGTCTAGTTCTCTGGCCACATTTAAGTTCCATTTTGAGAACAATGAAAACATTAGTGTTAAGCTTAAGTTTTGCCTCCAGAATCTCAGTTTTGGATATTTTCGGAACATGGAAGCCTGCATTCTTATTTTCTTTTCATTCACAGCCACTTCAGTCATTGATTTCATTGAGTTTCAAGTGATCTGTGGCAGTGAGGACTGGAGCGATAGCACAGTGGGTAGGGTGACACATGACTGACCCAGGTTCGCACATGGCTGACCCAGGTTCGATTCCTCCATCCCTCTCGGAGAGCCCGGCAAGCTACCCAGAGTATCCCACTCACATGGCAGAGCCTGGAAAGCTCCCCATGGTGTATTCGATATGCCAAAAAACAATAACAAGTCTCACAATGGAGACATTACTGGTGTCCACTCGAGCAAATCGATGAACAACGGGATGACAGTGTTACGGTGCTACAGTGCTGTAGCAGTGATTTTAAGTTTTAAAATAGTTTAATATTCAATTCTTAAAAAATAAAGATACTTTTATAGTCCAAATGAATTGCAGGGCAAATAAAACTTTGAAAAGACAAAAATATAGAACTAGTGTTTTACTATTTATTTCAAAAAATATAAAATTGCTTTGGCATATTGCTATCAAAGTCCTAACCAAGAATTGTCAATTTCATTCCTGGGTCTACATGGTACTCGGGAGTTGATGAAAGACCCTGAGCTTAGGCAGCCTTTAGACTAGGTAAGAGTCTAGTAAAAGTTGGAGGAAAATTTTCCTCAGTCCATCTTGAGTTTACTCCTTGCCACTGTCTGATGTGATTTCAGAGGTATAATTTGTCCTTTTGTGAAAATATCCATACTTGTGGACAAGCACATGACTCTTAGGAAAGCTTTTTTTTCTGTTCTACTTTACCACCTACACACACACACACACACACACACGCACGCACGCACGCACGCACGCACGCACACGGTAGCTCCCACATGCATCCAGACCCATTCGCCCTCTGACCTCTGTGTCATGATTAGATGCTAATATACGAGGCATTTAAAAGGTGCAGAAAATTGAAAACAATGTCTGAAAGCCCCCTCCATATTGGCAAGGAGCACCTGAGATAAGGAAATAGAATTTAATTCTTAGAAATAGCAATCACTATAAGTTGAATGATTATCTACGTCCCCCCTCCGATTTATCTGCTGGATATTTAATGCCCTTTTGATGATCGAGGAGGTGGGGCCTTCAGAAGGCACTTGAAGACAGACCCTCAGGGTAGGATTAATGAGCTTCCAAAATAAGTCCAGAGCTGCCTTGGCATTTCCACCACCTGAGAGTATATTGGAGCTGCAGCCTGTAGCCAGGAAGAGGCAGCTCCGCAGAACACCCCAGACCTGGCACACTGAGTGCAGGCCAGCCTCCAGGCTGAGAGAAATGACACTCTGCTATGGCAATCAGTTACAGAAGCCAAAGTGCTCTGGGATCACTGGGTTTTGTATACAAGGATTTAAAATATGCTTAGTAGAAATCTGCAGTAGCTAATTGAGCCAGTCACGCTGAATAACAACCAAGGTGATACCGTCACTTTCCTTTTCCTTGTCTTTTTTCTTCTTTTCTCTTATTTCCTCTCCTTTTTTCCTTTTCTTATTTTCTCTTTTCTTCCTTCTTCCTTCCTTCCTTCCTTCCTTCCTTCCTTCCTTCCTTCCTTCCTTCCTTCCTTCCTTCCTTTCCTCCTTCCTTCCTTCCTTCCTTCCTCTTTCTTTCTTTCTTCTTTCTTTCTTTCTTTCTTTCTTTCTTTCTTTCTTTCTTTCTTTCTTTCTTTCCATTTTTAGGCCACACTCAGTGATTCGTCGATTGCCTCGAGCAGGCCTCAGTAACGTCTCCTTCATCCTAGCCCTGAGATTATATTCAAGGCCTGTTAGGAGAATGAGACCCATCATTATTACTGGTATTTGGCATATTGGCTACGCCACGGGGAGTTTGCCAGACTCTGCCGTGTTGACAGGCTACATTCAGTGATGGTCAGGGCTTATTCCTAGCTCTGTGCTCTGTGCTCAGGGTTCACTCCTGGTGGGACTCAGGGACTCTATGGGCTGCTGGGGGTTGAACCCAGGTCAGCCACATGCAAGGCAAGCACCCTGTTCACTGTACTATCCTCTGCAGCCCTCTTTTTTGTGCTTATGAGTAAAATAGTTCTATTTAGGGAAACATTGGGCTAGAGCGATGGCACAGCTGCCTTGCATGCAGCCGGCCCGGCAGAGCTGGGTTCGATTCCTCTGCCCCTCTCAGAGAGCCCGGCAAGCTACCGAGAGTTTCTCGCCCGCTCGGCAAAGCCTGGCAAGCTCCCCCTGACGTATTCGATATGCCAAATAACAAGTCTCACAATGGAGACATTACTGGGCCCGCTCGAGAAAATTGATGAACAATGAACGGGAGGACAGTGACAGTGACAGGGAAACATTAGGGGAGTGAAGGCTTGAAAATATAGAGACAGAGACAGAGAGTCACAGGTAATTCCCAGGATAGGAGATGTTGTCACCATCACTTTTCTGTGGAGAAATGTTCACTGCTTTTGTTTTTCACAGATGGTAGAAATACATTTATCAGAATAATACTTGTGGGGACAAGCTACAGCATATCCTTTCTTCTCTTGGTGCCTCAGATGCCATGCCTCAGGCATGAAAGTCTTCACATGGCAAAAGCATGAGCAGTCTGTGAGCCTGTGACACTGCTGGGACTACTCCTGGCTCCGTGTGTGTTTTGGGGGAGGGGGGACACTCCCTGCAGTGCACAGGGAGTGTCCCCTGGTGCTCTGTATGAATTCTGTCCATTGAGCTCTCTCCGCATTTCACTTTCCTAAGCTTCTAGAGTAAAGTCAGGATAAAGGACATACTTGTTCTTTTTCAAGTACAGAACACAGAGGGAAATAGCGAAGTGAACAGACTTTTAAAGTTTCCTTATTCACTTTCCTTATTACTCAGTGCAATTTTGTCATTACTCAGTTACTTAATAGCTTTTTGTTTATCTTAAATCATTCTAATCAAGATAATTTTTGTGAGGCTAGAAAGTCTTTACCAGCAGGACTGAGTCTGACATTTCGGCTGCATGTAAATAATTTAGCAGGGCCGGGGAGGTGCCCGGGGTTTGGCAGCAGGCAACAGAAGCCTATTTTGACTGGCAGAGCCGAAAGGTGCTGTGAGCGGTGATGTCTCCACAAGGGCTTGGTCATGGCTGTAGGCGGAGGGAACAGGCAGGCCCTTTGGAGAACTGCTGGCAGAATGATTTCTCCTCTAACCTTTTCATTCATTGTGGACTTCTGCTTAACATTCAGGCCACAGGGAGAGAAACCGTTGGTTTAACCTACTTCGCTGGCTCCCTTTTGGGGAAGAGATGGAGCCTTCGGTGACGATTTCACAGTGAACACACAGTGTGGCTTCCAAAAGGAAAAACAAAAAAGCAAAAACAAGACTTGTGTCATCCAAAAGAGGAAAAAAATGGGTCCAGAGAAGCAGCCAGTGTCCAGCGTCCACTCTAACTTGTAGCATGAGCCAGTGTTCGATTCTAACCTGCTGGTTCTTTCTCCTAGTGCTGCCTCCCGTCCTGGTGCCGAGACACAGCGAGTACAACCCCCAGCTCAGCCTCCTGGCCAAGTTCCGTAGTGCCTCCCTGCACAGCGAGCCACTCATGCCGCACAACGCCACCTACCCCGACTCCTTCCAGCAGCCCCCCTGCCCCGCCCTCCCTCCCTCGCCAGGGCAGTTCTCACAGTCTCCCTGTGTGGCCAGCTACCCGCACTCCCCCGGAAGCCCTTCCAAGCCAGAGAGCCCCTATCCACACCCAGGTCAGTGGGAGCGCTGGTGCCTGTGGGGTCAGGGAGTGGTGGTCAGTGGGGTCAGAGGGAGCGGTGGTGCATGGGGTCAGTGGGATGGTGGTCTGTTGGGTCAGTGGGATGCTGGTCTGTTGGGTCAGTGGGAGTGGTGGTCAGTGGGGTCAGTGGGATGGTGGTGCGTGGGTCAGTGGGATGGTGGTCTGTTGGGTTAGTGGGATGCTGGTCTGTTGGGTCAGTGGGAGTGGTGGTCAGTGGGGTCAGTGGGATGGTGGTGCGTGGGTCAGTGGGATGGTGGTCTGTTGGGTCAGTGGGATGCTGGTCTGTTGGGTCAGTGGGAGTGGTGGTCAGTGGGGTCAGTGGGATGGTGGTGCGTGGGTCAGTGGGATGGTGGTCTGTTGGGTCAGTGGGATGCTGGTCTGTTGGGTCAGTGGGAGTGGTGGTCAGTGGGGTCAGTGGGATGGTGGTGCGTGGGTCAGTGGGATGGTGGTCTGTTGGGTCAGTGGGATGCTGGTCTGTTGGGTCAGTGGGAGTGGTGGTCAGTGGGGTCAGTGGGATGGTGGTGCGTGGGTCAGTGGGATGGTGGTCTGTTGGGTCAGTGGGATGCTGGTCTGTTGGGTCAGTGGGAGTGGTGGTCAGTGGGGTCAGTGGGATGGTGGTGCGTGGGTCAGTGGGATGGTGGTCTGTTGGGTCAGTGGGATGCTGGTCTGTTGGGTCAGTGGGAGTGGTGGTCAGTGGGGTCAGTGGGATGGTGGTGCGTGGGTCAGTGGGATGGTGGTCTGTTGGGTCAGTGGGAGTGGTGGTCAGTGGGGTCCATGGGATGGTGGTCTGTTGGCTCAGTGGGAGTGGTGGTGTGTGGGGTCCAGGCTGCTCGTGAGCAGGCCAGGCCCATCTTCATCCTCCCTGAACTGAAGCCCTTCGGGCCTTTGCAGTTCTCTCGGGTGTGTCCTCTACACCCTCAGCCCCGGCCTCCCCCTAAGATGATCAGAACCAGACCCAGTTTGGAGCTGTTGGCCCAAAGCCGCAGCATTGCCTGTGCTCTGGAGTCTGCTTCTAAGGCGGAGGAATTGGTTGGCAAGGAAATAGATGGGAGAAGTCCTGGAGATTAGTTGGCTGTTGTTCCGTTTTGTGAAACCGTCAAAGTAAGATCATCAGATACTCAGCTCCCCAAGGCAGGAAGCCTGGCCGAGGACGAGCTGTGCACAGGATCAGCGCTGGGCGTTTTCTTGGCCACCGTCTGTGGTGCTGTCTGCTAGCAGCCTTGGGCACGTGACTCTGGTGGGCAGAACTGGAGAACCGTCCTGGCCAGTGCTCACTCCGCCGGGGCTGGGTGAGCCAGTGCAGCATCCCGAAGCTAGTGCTCCTCAGGAACTACCTGCAGTTCTGGAAGAGAGTTGGGGTGGGGGACAGACTCCCGAGGGGGAGTCTGCTCAGGGGCCTGGGTTTGCTGATGGTGCTCGGCCCGGTCGCGCACTGGTAGTCCCTGTGGGGTTCAGCACGTGGTACTGGCACTCTGAGCTGATGCTTGGCAGGCATGCCCAGCAGCCGTTCGAGCTGGGCCCCAGGCCACGAGTCAGTGACTATTTGCTGACTTCAAAAGCACACGGGGGGCTGAGCAATAGCACAGCGGGTAGAACGTTTCCCTTGCACAGGGCCAACCTGGGTTCGATTCCCAGCATCCCATAGGGTCCCCTGAGCACCGCCAGGGGTAATTCCTGAGTGCAGAGCCAGTAGAGTAACCCCTGTGCATCGCCAGGTGTGACCCAAAAAGCCAAAAAAAAAAAAAAAAACCTGCGAGGCTCACGGGTCTGCCCCGGAGGAAAGGGCCAGGCAAGGCTGCCTTCTGGTGGCACGTGCTTAAGGCCTCTGAATGGGTCCAGGAAGAAATTCACACGTGTCTCCTGAGCGCAGGAGTAATGCCGGAGTAGACATACTTTTTAAGGTCGAGCCTAAAGGCATTTGGTGCCTTTTTTTTTTTTTGCAATCTGTATGATTTATGTAGTCCTCTGTTCTTGTCTGTAAGTCTTCGCATAGGGAAGCGTTCCCTTGGCTGCCAAGAGGAGAGTTAAAAGATGAGTAGAAAGAGCTGTGGGTGTCCTCTGCCCCCTGGGTGCCACATAAGGCCGTGGAACCTCGGGACAGGTCCTGGTGTGTCCCGACAGATGTGCGGGCTTCTCACCCACCGGATACAGACTGGCCGGTGGGTGGCACTACCGAGAGCCAGGTGGTCCTTGGCTGGACGAAGGTTCTGGCCCCTGCCTTGGTGAAGCAGCGTTGCTGTTTTCCTCTTCTGCCCTCCGCCGTCCTTCCTTTTCGCTTTCGCAGCACAGGAACTGCGCGTGGGACTCACCTCTGACATTGAATCAGCAGGCTGTTCTACTGCGGAGAAAAACCAAGTAGCTTCTAAATTTGAAGGCATTTGCTTCATTTTTGTTTTTTTAGTTTTGGGGCCACACCCAGCGATGCTCAGGGGTTTCTCCTGGCTCTGAGCTCAGGAATTACTCCTGGTCGGCTTGTGGGGGGCCCATACGGGATGCGGGGGATCAAACTTGGATCAACTGCGTTCAAGGCAAAAGCCCTCCAGCCCCGAGAGCGGTGCTTTTAGAAAGACGCTTAAATAGGGCTATTAGCAACTTTCACGTACTGCGCCCATGCAGCTTGTCCTGCTGCTCATAGTGTTCAGCCCTTGGTCAGCTTGTGTGAATCAGGTCTTGATTCCCGAGGCCTGGGGTGGGCCCTGAGGCTCCACTGTCCTGGCCAGCCCCAGGGATGCAGAGGCCACAGGTCCAGGGATACAGAGAGCAGGGAGACACAAAGGCCGTTTCCTCTTTAAGCATCCCAGAGTATATCCTTCTACTGGCGAAGGACATTCCAGGAGTAGAGTCAGGCACAACGAGTGCATTTTCCCGGGATCACACTTGGCGCATGTGGACCTCCAGGGATTTGAATTTGTGATCAGAGGTTTGCAAAGCAGATGCACTTACTCCCTGTGCTATTTCTTTTTTTAGCTTTATGTTTTTTAAAAATCATACCCTAGGGCCGGAGCGATAGCACAGCGAGTAGGGCGTTTGCCTTGCACACGGCCGACCTGGGTTCGATCCCCGGCATCCCATATGGTCCCCCAAGCACTGCCAGGAGTGATTCCTGAGTGCAGAACCAGGAGTAACCCCTGAGCATCGCTGGGTGTGACCCAAAAAGCAAAAAAAAAAAAAAAAGAAAGTAAAAATTATACCCTAACTTTTTTTTTTTTGAGAGGAGGGTCACACCCCATAAGGCACAGGGGTTACTCCTGGCTCATGCTCTCAGGAATTACTGCTTGCGGTGCTCCGAGGATGATGTGGGATGCTGGGAATCGAAAGTGGGTCCACCACGTGCCAGGCAAATGTCCAACCCGCTGTGCTATCACTCCAGCCCCATACCCTAATTCTTACTTATCATTTTAGCTTCCAGCCCCATACCCTAATTCTTACTTATCATTTTAGCTTCTTAGAAAAGGCCTCTCTATGCCTCTTTTGCAAACCACAGCACCCAAAAGGAGAGGGAGAGAGAACAAAAGGGAATGCCGGGTCGGTGGGGGGGGGGGGGGGGGGGAATATTTCAGGCCTTGACGAAGACTACAGGGTTCAGTTCTATTCTTGTTCGCCTGAGAAAACAAGCCTGAGTTAGCCGAGGCATCTGCCAGTCCCATGCCCCCTGGGTGCTCCCCAGAGGCCCTGCCTACCCCCTCGCCCCCACCCCGGCTTCCCTTGGGGGCCAACCAGCCAGGGCAGCCTCCTGGGGTGCCCTGCCGCAGGGCTCCTGGCGGCCCGGGGCTGCGCTGACTGCCTGGCCCGTCCTTCCCTTCCAGACTTCAGGCCCGTCTGCTACGAGGAGCCGCAGCACTGGTGCTCGGTGGCCTACTACGAGCTCAACAACCGCGTGGGCGAGACCTTCCAGGCGTCCTCCCGCAGCGTGCTGATCGACGGCTTCACCGACCCCTCCAACAACAGGAACCGGTTCTGCCTGGGGCTGCTCTCCAACGTGAACAGGAACTCCACCATCGAGAACACCCGCAGGCACATAGGAAAGGGTAACTGGCAAGGAAGCATCACCCGTGTGCCGGGCGCAGCCACACCTGGCTCCGTAGGGCCCATCCTGACTGTGCGGGCTCACCGCGGGAGGAGCCCCAGGCCTCGGGGCTGGTCACCCTGCAAGTCAGCAGACCCGAGAGGGGGGTGTGGAGGGGGAGCCGGAGCACCGTAGGCTGAGCAGCCCGAGGCTGCGGGAACTTGGGGCAGGAGCAAGTCGGAGCTCTTCTGGGCTTGCCTGTGGCTGCTAAGCAGGGGCTTCTGCCACGCCGTCCCAGAGCTAAGTAGTTATGCAGGTTAGTCTCGGTGTGGACGTCTCTGATACTGCTTGATCCAGAGATAGAATTGAAATATTAAACATGGGTGCCTAGGGGCTGGAGCGATAGCACAGAGGGTAGGGCATTTGCCTTGCACGCGGACAACCCGAGTTCAATTCCCAGCATCCCATCTGGTCCCCTGAGCACTGCCAGGGTTAATTCCTGAGTGCAGAGCCAGGAGTGAGCCAAAAACAAAACAAAACAAAAACATGGGTGCCTAAAATTAAGATGCATGAATATATATTAAGGTCCTTTACTTTTCATGTGGCTGGTCCCCGTTTGATCCCGGCCACCCCTGGTCCCCTTGCATTGCTGGGTGCCACTGGGATGCTGGGTAATCCCTGCAAGCTTGCATTGAGCCTTTGGCCCTGATGGTCGAGAATCACGAGGACAGTCTCTGAGCCTCCTGAGCACTGTTGGGAGACCCTGTAATCAAGACAAATACTGAGGGAGTCTAGTGTGTCTTCAGGGTTGGACCCTTGGTGCCAGCAGGGCATCGGGCAGGAAACAAGGTGGGGAACAAGGAGAGAAATGAGGTCCAAAAGGAAAAAGTTGAGGAACAACTGTTGAGCTGCTTTAGCTTTGGCTTTGTGGAATGGCCAGATGGATTTCCACAGAGGAGCTGCAGGTACAAGTACCATTTTTATTTTTTTTATTTTTTGCTTTTTGGGTCACACCTGGTGATGGACAGGGGCTGCCCCTGGCTCATCACTTATCACTTAATCACTTAATCCCCGTTATTCATCGATTGACTCGAGCGGGTGCCGGTAACGTCTCCATTCATCCCGGTTGCGTGCTAGCGTAGCCCAATGGTATCTGTTCGTTCTAGGAACATGCAGAGCCTCAAACCGATCATTCAGGGTCTTGACGAAGAAGTCTGACCATCTTGTAGGTGGGCGTCCACGTGATCTTTTGATGTCCCGTGGAATCCAATCAGTAATGACTCTAGTCCAGCGGTTGTCTGTAAACCTCATTACGTGTCCAGCCCATCTGATTTTTGATGTCTTGGCAAATGAGACAGCGTCCCTGATTCTTGAGCGTTGACGAAGATCAGAACTCCGGATTCTATCTCTCGTTTGAGTGAATCGTGATATTCCAAGCATAGTTCTTTCGATTCCTCGTTGAGAGACCCGAATAGCGTTCTCATCCTGTTTTCGTAGGGTCCAGGTCTCTGAGGCATATGTTAATGCAGGAAGAACAGTGGAATCAAAGAGATGTGCTCGTAGCTGGAGGTTCTTTGTCCTTTTAGTTATTTCTTCAACGTTCTTGAAGGCATTCCAAGCCGCTCTCTTCCTCCTGCGCAACTCAGGTGCCAGGTCATTCATCATGTTGATTTCTCGACCTAGGTATATATAACTGTTGCATTCGGAGATGGTGGTTCCGTTGAGAGCGAATGGAGCGTCAGGAACAAGGCTGTTTCTCATAAACATTGTCTTCGTAAGATTCAGCTGTAGTCCGACCTTTCCACATTCACGGTCAAAGTCGTTCAGCATTTGTGCCGCTTGGCTGATGTTTGGTGTTATTAGAACGATGTCAGCAAAGCAGAGGTGGTGTAGTTGCCGACCAATATCTTCACTCTCATGCTTTCCCATTTCAGTCGTCGCATGATGTTCTCGAGGGTGGCACTGAAGAGTTTTTTGGTGAAATGGTATCACCCTGCCGAACCCCTCTCTTGATATGGTTGATTACTTCTTTGTAGAATGGTGAGATCTTGGTAGTGAATCCGCAATAGAGCTCACGAAGGATCCTGATGTATTGAGTTTGTACGCCCTGATTGGCTAGGGTTTCCCTGACCGCTTCCGTCTCAACAGAATCAAAGGCCTTCTTTAAATCAATGAACGTTGGACAGAGTGGCATCTTGAACGCCTGAGAAACCTCAATGAGCTTAGTAATCGTGTGGATATGGTCAATGGTACTGAATCCTTTTCGGAACCCGGCTTGTTCACATGGTTGTCCTTCATCTAGTGTTCTGCTAATCCTATTCAGGATGACTCGAGTGAACAGTTTGTAGACGACAGACAATAGGCAGATTGGGCGATAGTTGCCAATGTCGTGGATGTCTCCCTTCTTGTATAGTAGTACAGTCCTGCTGGTTTTCCACTGGGATGGAACCTTGCATTCAGACAGGTAGCGTGTGAAGAGCCGAGCCAATGTATTGATGAGTACTGATGGTAAGTTCTTCAGGTGTTCAGGTCTGATCTTGTCTGGGCCAGGTGCTCTTTGTTTCTTTACCGATGAGATGGCATGTTGGATTTCGGAAGGGAGAACATTGGGAATGACATATCCATCATGTGATATGTGGTATGTGGGCAAGTGGACGTGGCTATTAAAGAGATCTGAGTAGAAGTCATGAATAATCTTCTCCATTGCCCTTCTGGAAGATGTGATAGATCCATCATGATGTCGGAGGGTTTTGTAGTTGGTGAAGGACAGGCGGGCATTACGAATGCTTTTCCCAGCTTCTGCCGCATCTACCAGTACTGCTGCTCTCCTGTTTTTGAGGTCATCCTTGATGGCTTCTCTGCACTGTTTTGCTAGTTCAGATGTTCGCTTGTGGTTGCCTGAGGCATGTGCCAAGCCACGTTGGCGAATAAGTTCAAGAGTGTTCGAAGAAAGGCGGTTTTTTGTGGTTATCTCTCTCTTGGCATTCCTCACACAATCATGGAGGTGCTGAATCATTCGATCGTATTCCTCATCAATGTTGTCAATGACGGCATCTTCCTTCCCATGTTGCCGCAACAGAGCCAAAGAGCTCCCAGTTGGTGGTCGTTCTGGGAGTCCTCTTCTTAACCCTTGCATTCTTTTCTCCTCGTTCTGTGAGGTAGAATTTTGCACGAAGAAGACGGTGGTCTGATCCCGTTTGGAATTTTGGGACAACAGCAACATCGGTTAGACAAAACCGCCGATTGAATATGATGTGGTCTATTTCATTGTGGAACCGTCCATCGGGAGACTCCCATGTCCAACGTTTAGATTCAGCCTTTTGGAACTGTGAGTTACCATGGAAGGTTTTGGTTGACATGATGAACTCAGACAGTCTGTCACCCTGTTCGTTCCATTCTAGGCCATGGGTCCCGATGTGGAGTTCATCGACTGATTTTCTTGGTCCTATCTTGGCATTAAAATCACCGACAATGATCTTGTAGAAGGTGTGATCTTCTTTATAGAACTTCTCCAGCTCCATGTAGAACTTCTCAGTTTCTCTTTCACCATAACTGGATGTTGGTGCATAGACAACAAAGATAGAAACTGCCGGTAGTGAGCCATATCTATTCAAGTGTAATCGTCCGATTCGGGTTGTTAGGCATTCGAATGAATCAATGCTCGTGGCTAAGTTTGTGTTCACAAGGATACCAACACCACCGACGCCTCTTTTATCACATGTTCCAAGGAACAGTTCTTCTCCAGTGTCGAAAACGGCATGATGTGATTGATGTCTTCTCGTTTTGGTCAGACCAATGATGTCGTACTTGATCTTTCGTGCTTGTACCATAAGGTCTTCAATGGATGCAGCAGATGCCAGCATACAAGCATTAAACGTACAGACAATCATTTTTGTTTTTCTTCGTTTTGGCAGCCTATTTCTGCCTTGGTATTTTATCAGCCTTTCCTTCCATATCCTTCTCGACTCTGCCATATTCAGGGTTAGGGGAATGAGATCCATTTATTACTGGATTTGGCATATCAATTTGGTCTATTTGGCATAGACCACGGATAGCTTGCCAGACTCTGCCGTGCGGGTGGGATATTTAAAGGTACCCTGAAAACTTAGAGAAAAGTAAATAGTTGCGCGGCCGCGAATGCTCCCAGGAGCTTGTTGTGATAATCTCTGGATCCTGGCCGTTGTTGGGGTTACACGGCAGTTGGAGGGTGTAACTGTCTAGCTACTGACAGGTCCAGTCCCAAACCGTGCAGGCTTGGAGATCTCAGCCCCGGGTCCCACACACCTGGGTTCCTCTGGCTCATGCCCTCAGGAATTACTCCTGGCAGAACTCAGGGGACCATATGGGATGCTGGGAATCGAACCCGGGTTGGCCGTGTGCAAGGCAAATGCCCTATCCGCTGTGCTATCACTCCAGCCCCAAGTACCATTTTTAAAGGATCCCATTTTTATTTCATTTTTAAAAATTTTAACTAAGTCACTCTGTGATTCATTTTTCCATGATTGAGTTGCGGGCAGACAGTGTTTCAGCACCGATTCCTTCACCAGTGCCCACTCCTCTCCATCCTTTTCGTCTTACTTGAGGATTATTTATGTATGATTTACCCTGGGACCTCTCAGCAGTGCTCAGCCTGGCCGCGCAGTCCCGTCTGAGGGCTCAGTGCCAGGCAGCTGCTATCAGGGCCATAGCCCAGGGCTCAGGGCGATGGAGATCACTCAGGTACACTCTCCTGCTGAGGGGGGTGCAGTGCTGGAGGTCCAGTTCAGGCCCAGCTTGGGCGAGCTGAGCTTCCCAGCCCTTGGGGCCATTTCCTGGCCCCTAATGAAGCCCCTTAAAAAACAACTTTATTGTTGAGTCTGGAATGATAGTACAGCGGGTGAGGCAGTCGCCTTGCACATAGCTGACATGAGTTCGATCCCCAGCATCCCATCTGATGCCCCACCAGGAGTGGTTCCCTGAGCACAGAGTCAGGAGTAATCCCTGAGCACTGCCAGGTATGGCCCCAAAGCATTAATGACAATA